TTGAGATGAAAGATTTCAGTGTCACTTGTTAGTTATTTAAGAAAATTATAAGGCATTCAGCCATAACTCGTGTCAACAGCTTCAGGAGGTCACTGACATCATTACATGAGAGTGCTAATTGTTAAATTAACAACAGGAAACACTGTACACTAACTCTCATGCAGGTCTGCTGTCCTCAATAAGTTGAATTATGCGAGTTAACTGTAAAACTACTTCTTCAATAGTTTGTGTCTGTGTGTTTGTGTGTGTACGTGCAAATTGTTGAAATCTTTTACTTAGTAGAGTATTGGTCTTCTGTGTACAATGTTTTTTTTATCTTATTTTTTTATGTTTTTTTTAAACTTTTATTTAATGAATATAAATTTCCAAAGTACATCTTATGGATTACAGTGGCTTCCCCCCCATAACTTCCCTTCCACCCACAACCCACCCCTTTCCTGCTCCCTCTCCCCTTCCATTCACATCAAGATTCATTTTCAATTCTCTTTATATACAGAAGTTCAGTTTAGTATATATCTATTATGTAAAGATTTCAACAGCTTGCACCCACATAGCAACACAATGTGAAAAATTCTGTATCAGTACTAGTTATAGCATGAAATCACAATGTACAGCACATTAGGGACAGCGATCCTACATGAGGAGTAAGTGCACAGTGACTTCTTTTGTTGACTTCACAAATTGACACACTTGTTTATGGCATCAGCAGTCACCCTAGGCTCTTGTCATGAGTTGCCATAGCTATGGAATCCTTTTGAGTTCACTGACTCTTATCATATTTAGACAAGGCCATAGTCAAAGTGGAAGTTCTGTCCTCCCTTCAGTGAAAGGTACCTCCTTCTTTGATTGCCCGTTCTTTCTACTGGGATCTCACTTGCAGAGATCTTTCATTTAGTTCCTTTTTATTTTGACAGAGTCTTGGCTTTCCTTGCCTGAAATACTCTCCTGTGCTTTTCAGCTGGATCCAAATGCCCTAAGGGCTGATTCTGGGGCCAGAGTGCTGTTTAGGACATCTGCCATTCTATGAGTCTGCTGTGTATGCCGCTTCCCATGTTGGATCATTCTCTCCCTTTTTTGTTCTATTGGTTAGTATTTTCAGACACTAGTCTTGTTTATGTGATCCCTTTCACTCTTAGTCCTATCATTATGATAAATTGTGAACAGAAATTGATCAAATGGACTAGTGGGATGGCATTGGTACATGTCTCCTTGATGGGATTGAATTGGAGTCCCCTGGTATGTTTCTAACTCTACCATTTGGGGCAAGTCAACTTGAGCATGTCCCAAATTGTACATCTCTTCCTCTCTTATTCCCACTGTTATATTTAACAGGGATCACTTTTCAACACTTAAGAATAACTGTGTATTAATTACAGAATTAAACCAGTCATATTAAGTAGAGCAGACAAAAAAACTACTAAGAGGGATAATGTATTAAGTTGTTCATTAACAGTCAGGGCTATGCTGATCAAGTCACCATTTCTCATAGTGTCCATTTCACTTCAACAGGTTTCCTTTTTGGTGTTCAGTCAGTTGTCACCAATCAGGGAGAACATATGGTATGTGTCCCTTTGGGACTGGCTTATTTCACTCAGCATGATGTGTTCCAGTTTCCTCCATTTTGTTGCAAATGACTGGATTTCATTGTTTCTTACTGCGGTATAGTATTCTAAAGAGTACATATCCCATAATTTCTTTATCCAGTCTACCATTGATGGGCATTTTGGTTGGAGGCAAGATAGCGGAATAGTGAGGGCGCGCAACGATAGTCCGGGTAAATTTAGTTTAATAAAAGCGGAGTTACAGTAGCCTCAGACAAAGGATCAGGAAAAAATTGCAGAGGAAACTCTTTCGGAGCTATTTGCTGTGACCCAAAGGACCTACTGGGAGAGCAGGGTCGTCCACCACGTGGAAGCTGAACTGCGGGAGCCGCAGAGTCTGAGCGCCAGTGTGGGAAGGGGAGTCTATGTGACAAAGACACCAGCGGGGAGAGGAGGGATGCTAAGGGTTCTGAGTCCACACATTGGCGCTGGAAGCGAAGCCTTGCAGTATTACTTACGTCCTGAACAAAAAATAAAATAAAATAAAATAAAATAAATAAATGAATAAATAAATAAAGAGAGATTTACCACGCATAACCTGAGGGTGTCACCTTTAAACACCCTTAACCAGGAAGAACCAAGCAGAGCTCTCAGGCCACACCCATCTCAAGCCTCCAAGGCTCCTCCAACAGCAGGCAGTCCACTTAACACGGACATAGTATAATAATAATAAAAAAAACCTCACAGTGAGGGAAACAGAATTAACCATGCCAAGCAATAAACACAGAAATCGACGGAACAAGATCAATGATGACATTATGATGCTTCCAAAAAACAAAACACCCCAAGCCAAGATTATGAAGATGATGAGATAGAAGAAATGCAAGATATGGATTTCAAAAAATTTATGATAAGAACATTTAGAAGTTTTCAAAAGCAAATCCTTGAACTACAGAAATCCTTATTGGACAGGATTGAAAATCTCTCTCGTGAAAATGAAATTTTAAGGAAGAATCAAAATGAAACGCAGAAACTAGTAGAGCAGGAAAGTGTGATAGTGAAGAGAAATCAAAATGAAATGAAGAGCTCAATAGATCAAATGACAAACACATTAGAGAGCCTTAAAAACAGAATGGGTGAAGCAGAAGAGAGAATATCGGACTTAGAAGACAGAGAACGGGAAAGGATACAGTCAAACCAAAGAAAAGAAGAGGAAATTAGAAATCTAAAAAATATTGTTGGGAATCTACAGGATACTATTAAAAAAACCAACATTCGGGTTCTAGGAGTTCCTGAAGGCATGGAGAGAGAGAAAGGATTAGAAGGCCTTTTTAGTGAGATACTAGCAGGGAACTTTCCAGGTTTGGAGAAGGACAGAGACATCCTAGTACAGGAAGCTCATAGAACCCCCAATAAACATGACCAAAAGAGATTCTCACCACGACACGTTGTAATTAAACTCACCACAGTGAAGCATAAAGCAAAGATCCTAAAATGTGCAAGAGAGAAATGTCAGATTACTCTCAGAGGATCTCCAATCAGACTCACAGCAGACTTCTCATCAGAAACACTACAGGCTAGGAGGGAATGGCGAGACATAGCACAGGTGCTAAGAGAGAAAAATTTCCAGCCCAGAATATTATATCCTTCTAAGCTCTCATTTGTGAATGAAGGTGAAATAAAGACCTTTCATAGCAAACAGAAATTGAAAGACTTTGTGGCCACTTGTCTGGCCCTGCAAAAGATACTTAGAGATGTGCTACACTCAGAAACACAGAAACACGGCCATCAATATGAAAGAAGGGAAAGGAAGAACACCTACCAGTAAAAGAGCATGGGAAGCTGAAAGCATATACTCGAAAATATCTCTGGGAAAATGGCAGGGCAAAGTCACTATGTATCAATAGTCACATTAAACGTGAATGGCCTGAACTGTCCAGTTAAAAGACACAGACTGGCTGATTGGCTTAAGGAACACAACCCAACTATTTGTTGCCTACAAGAAACACATCTCTCTAACAAAGATGCATGCAGACTGAAAGTGAAAGGTTGGAAAAAGATATTCAATGCCGCCAGAAACCAAAAAAAAGCAGGTGTAGCCATATTAATATCAGACAAAATAAACTTTAATACAAAAACTGTTAAGAGAGACAAAGAGGGGCACTATATAATGATTAAGGGTTCAATTCAACAGGAAGATGTAACTATTATAAATGTATATGCACCTAATTACAGGGCACCGGTCTATTTAAAAGATATGTTAAGGGACTTAAAGGGAGACTTAGATTCCAATACAACAGAAAGGTACCAAATAAATGAGCTTTCAGCGCATCTCAAGGACCTAGAAAATTTCAGCAAACCAGACCCAAACCTAGTAGGAGAAGAGAAATAATTAAAATCAGAGAAGAAATTAACAGGATTGAATCCAAAAAAACATTACAAAAAATCAGCCAAGCGAAGAGCTGGTTTTCTGAAAAAATAAACAAAATTGACACCCCATTGGCCCAACTAACTAAAAAAAGAAGTGAAAAGACCCAAATCAATAAAATCAGAGATGTATAGTACACTTGTGCAGTGCACTGTGATGTGTCCCAAGAGGTGCATAGTGATGGATTTAGTGATAGCAGTGGTCAAGTGATGCCAGTGACGGTAATACAGTGACCCAGAGATACACCAAGAGATACAGTCATATCTGGTGATATGTCAATATACAGTGACATACAATAGTGACATACAGAGACAGGTAGAGTGGTATAGAGTGTCAGAGCAATATTTAGTGACAGATGGTGATGTACAGTGACAAATATAGGTGTATAGTGATATATAGTGAGAGATACAGTAATACATAGGGCAGATATGGTGATGCATAGTGGCAGATATAGTGATGTGTAGTGATATAGTGATACATAAGGACAGATACGGTGATACACAGTGACAGTGATACATAGAGACAGAGTGATATATAGTGAAATCAAATGTATGGTGGCAGATATGGTGATAAACAGATATGGCCAATATAGCCCTATACTGACATATTGTGATAGTGATATACAGTAGTTGGTGGAGTACAGTGTGGAAGATGTTGATACAGTAGTGTGGTGCCACAGTGATATTTTAGAGTGACATAGTAAAAGACACAGATATCGGTGTATCCACGGGTGACATGTGAGTGTTGGTGTGTGGTGTTTTGTGCACAACATTCCTTGTTGCTCTGTTCTTGCACGTTTTGGCACAGAGTTGTCTTACACCTGAGAGTGTCCATCAGGAATAAGGATTGGCTGTCTTTGGGGATGACTAATTCTCTAAGGTCTCAGGATTCATGAATATGCACACCACTTGCTGCATTGTGAAGTCTCCTCAGGGCTGGTGTTTGGGACAGTAGTTGCACTGCCACTTGGGACACCCACGTCCTGTATCATAGTGCCTGGATTTGATTCCTGACTCTGCTTTTGATTCCAGCTTCCAGCTACTGTGACTGCTGGGAGGCTGCAGGTCATGGCGCAACTGCCAGGGTCCCTGACACCCTTGTGGAAGACCTGGATTCAGTTCCTGGGTCCTGGAATCACTCTGCCCCATCTCTTCCTGAGGTGAGCTTTTAGGGAGTGAACCAGCTGAAGAGAAATCTCTCTCACTCTTGTCACTCTGCCTTTAAAACAAATAATTTAAATTTTGAATTTATTTTAGTTTCATTGTTGACGTTTCTAAAGTATAGGCAAAAGGGAATCTCATATTTAAAAATAGTGCAAAGCTGGGGCTGGCTTTGTGGCACAGCAGGGAAAGCCACCACCTGCAATGCCAGAATCCCATATGGGGGTTGGTTTATGCCCTCCCAGCCGCTCCACTTCCAATCCAGCTCCCTGCTTATGGCCTGGGAAAAGCAGTGGAAGATGGCCCAAGTGCTAGGGCCTCTGCCACCCACATCAGGGACATGGATGAACTCCTGGATCCCGATTTCAACCTAGCACAGTCCTGGCCATTGTTGCCATCTAGGGAGTGAACCAGTGGGTTTAAGATAGATCTCTCTCTCCCCTATCACTCCATACCCCTTAACTGTGGGAATTCTCTCTCACCCTGTCTCTGTCTGTTTCCTCTCTCTCTCTCTGTCATCACCCTGGTTTAAAACAAATAACATAAATAGAAAACTTAAAATCCATTCTTTATGTACATTTACAAAGCATAGGCAAAATGGATAATCATATTTAAAGTATGTGCATAGTGGCCATGGGGCCCTGTGGACTGTGGAGGTGACACCTCCAGGGCAGAGCACTGAGAACTTTGGTGGGTGACACAGGGAACTTGCCCTGGACCTGTGATGTGGAGGTCACTGAAAATGTGTCAGCGTCCCAGGGGTGGGAAGTTGAACAACCCTGGATGAGTCATTCAAGCCCGTTGTGTCCCAGAAGTTCTTTGCCTCTGGGTACATCATGCGATGTCTCTGGGATGGGCTTGGAGGGGATGACCTTCTGTGGGACCGGAGCCTGGAAGCAGTGCATCTCCCTGCATTTCTTGTTCTCTTTCTTCCTAGAAACATTTACAACTGTGGAGTATGGAGCTCTTGGAATGAAAGAGAATGTGTTGATAGTGTTAGCCTAACCCGTGGCGTGGGGCCTGTTGCATGGCTGAGTGACAGGGGGAAAGTCTCTGTGAGGCTGTGATGTGTGTGAGCTGCCCCCTTTCTTACCATCGTCCTTGGTGTAAGGATCAAGTTAATGTCACAGTTCCCCACGTGCATTCCATTGTCTCAAGGAGTCAGCAAGTTGTCTAGAAAAACACTTTTTCCCCCTATAATCCCATGTCTTCAGTGGAGTATAAATCTTTTCCAGGAATAGGTGGTGTGGAGGGATCTGCATGCATCTCAGTTTTTGCTGTGGTTTATAGCAAATGCTGTATGATGTCTGTTTCCTTTCCATTTAAGTGGCTCCTGTTAACGTCAGTAATTAGAGAATTTTTTTTTTGTTGAAGTGTCCCATGAGTTGTTTGCTAAAGGGTGAGGTACAATAAAACTGTGTGACTTTTGAGATGAAAAATTTCAGTGTCACTTGTCAGTTATTTAAGAAAATTATAAGGTATTCAGCCATAACTCATGTCAACAGCTTCAGGTGGTCACTGACATCATTACATGAGAGTGCTAATTGTTAAATTAACAACAGGAAACACTGTACACTAACTCTCATGCAGGTCTGCTGTCCTCAATGAGTTGAATTATGAGAGTTAACTGTAAAACTACTTCTTCAATAGTTTGTGTCTGTGTGTTTGTGTGTGTACATGCAAATTGTTGAAATCTTTTACTTAGCAGAGTATTGGTCTTCTGTGTACAAAGTTAATTGAAAATGAATCTTAATGGGGAATGGGATTGGGAAGTGGAGTGGGAGAACGGGAAACGTGGGAGTGTTGGTGGTAGGATTGCAATTAGGTGGTAAGAATAACTATGTTCCTAAAGTTGTATATTTGAAACTTGTATTCCTTTAAAAAAAGTAAATAAAGTTTTTTAAGGAAGTATTCAGCCATGCAGGAGCCAGAAAAAAATATACACAGAGTAATCTTGAGGTGCTCCCATACTTGCTCTGGGATCTGATTAGTCATGAGAGTGTATTCTGTGTAGATTGACTTATTATATTTTCAACTGGGCTGTGTCCAGTTAGTAGCTCAGATCAGAGCTTAATCCAGATCTCCCACATGGGTGTCAGGCACCTAACTACCTGACCATCCCTCACACTCTCCTATGACCCACACTAACTTTTTTTTTTATTAAGTTTATTGATTTATTTGAAAGAGTTGCAGGGTGGTGGAAAGAGAGGGGGAGAGACAGAGAGTTCTTCCATCAGCTGGTTTTGAGAGTTAGATTGAATCTCTTGGTTCAGAACTGATGAAACCATAGTGGGCCATTAATGTCCTGTGATAATTTGGCCATCAACCAATATTCCAGGGCAGGAGGCAGGAGCATGTCCCTGACATTGGCATGTGAGCCTATTTGTTCAGTGGTAACCCTCCATGGTTGGAATGATTAGAGGGGAAAAACTGCACTTTATATAATGTGAATGGGTACTAGTTGGAGTTTTTGAAGCTTTTGCCTTGCTTTAATTTGATATGAGTGACAGAGAGAGAGATGGTGGCACAGAGCTCCCATCTACTGCTTCATCCCCGAGTGACACCTAAATGCATGCTGTGGACAGGGAACACAAGTGAGGGCCTGGGAAAAGTGAAAAATTCTGTTTGAGTACTAGTTATAGCATGAAATCACAATTTACATCACATTAGGGACAGAGATCCTACATGTGGAGTAAGTGCACAGTGACTCCTGTTGTTGACTTAGCAAATTGACACGCTTGTTTATGGCATCAGTAATCACCCTAGGCTCTTTGTCGCTCCCCCACTTTCACGGAGGAAGAACACCAGACACTGTTTTCTTTCCCCTGTCCTTCCCGGATTTGCTGCCACTCCCCTGCCTCTGCGGAGGAGCGGCATCCCCACCGCTCACCCGCTTTCGTGGAGGAGCGGCAACAATGAGCTCTCCGACCAACTCTCAGGGGGCCGCACATGTTGTCTCTCTCCCCCTTTTATAGTCCTCTCCCACCAATCCATGCTCCGCTGCCCACGTACTGAGCATGCCACTTTCCTCCAATTAGAGGTTGTGTCAGGAATCAGCTAATTGACAAAGCAGCTGTGTAAGATTTGTTTGCTCCCTCTCAGTGCCATATGGTGGGAGATCAGATGCATAGAGTTAGTTTCAGTCCACAGTCTCAGTACTTACTTGTCTCCCGGGCGCCCCGCCATGTTGTGGGAGATGGACCCTGCTCCCCACAGCTCTTGTCATGAGTTGCCATAGCTATGGAACCCTTTTGAGTTCACCGACTCTTATCATATTTAGACAAGGTCATAGTCAAAGTGGAAGTTCTCTCCTTTCTTCAGAGGAAGGTACCTCCATCTTTGATGACCCGTTCTTTCTACTGGGATCTCACTTGCAGAGATCTTTCATTTAGGTCCTTTTTTTGCCAGAGTGTCTTGGCTTTCCATGCCTGAAATACTCTCATGGGCTTTTCAGCTGGATCCAAATGCCTTAAGGGCTGATTCTGGGGCCAGAGAGCTGTTTAGGACATCATCATTCTATGAGTCTGCATTGTATCCCGCTTCCCATGTTGGTTCATTCTTTCCTTTTTGTTCTATTGGTTAGTATTTTCAGACACTAGTCTTGTTTATGTGATCCCTTTGGTTCTTAGTCCTATCATTCTGATCAACTGTGAACAGAAATTGATCAAATGGACTAGTGGGATGGCATTGGTACATGCAACCTTGATGGGGTTGAATTGGAACCCCTTGGTATGTTTCTAACTCTACCGTTTGGGGCAAGTCAGCTTGAGTATGTCCCAAATTGTACATCTCTTCCCTCTCTTATTCCCACTGTTATATTTAACAGGGATCACCTTTCAGTTAAGTTTCAACACTTAAGAATAACTGTGTAATGATTACAGAATTAAAACAATAGTATAAGGTAGAACAGACAAAAAATACTAAGAGGGATAATGTATTAAGTTGTTCATCAACAGTCAGGGAAAGGGCTGATCAAGTCACTGTTTCTCATTGTGTCCATTTCACTTTAACAGGTTTCCTTTTTGGTGCTCGGTTAGTTGTCACCAATCAGGGAGAACATAAGATATCTGTCCCTTTGGGACAGGCTTATTTCACTCAGCATAGTGTTTTCCAGATTCCTCCATTTTGTTACAAGTGACCGGATTTCACTGTTTTTGACTGCTGTATAGTATTCTATAGAGTACATGTCCCATAATTTCTTTATCCAGTCTACCGTTGATGGGCATTTAGGTTGATTCCAGGTCATAGCTATTGTGAATTGAGCTGCAATAAACATTAAGGTGCAGACCGCTTTTTTCTTTGAAAATTTAATTTCCTTTGGGTAAATTCCAAGGAGTGGGATGGCTGGGATGAATGGTAGGGTTATATTCAGGTTTCTGAGGAATCTCCAGACTGACTTCCATAGTGGCATAATCAGTTTGCACTCTCACCAACAGTGGGTTAGTGCCCCTTTTTCCCCACATCCTCACCAGCATCTCTTGGTGGTGGATTTCTGAATGTGAGCCATTCTCACCGGGGTGAGGTGAAACCTCATTGTGGTTTTGATTTGCATTTCCCTGATGGCTAGTGATCATGAACATTTTTTCATGTGCCTGTTGGCCATTTGGATTTCCTCCTTTGAAAAATGTCTATTGAGGTCCTTGGCCCATCTCTTAAGTGGGTTGCTTGTTTTGTTGTTGTGGAGTTTCTTGATCTCTTTGTAGTTTCTGGTTATCAACCCTTTATCTGTTGCATAGTTTGCAAATATTTTTTCCCATTCTGTCGGTTGCCTCTTCACTCTCCTGACTGTTTCTTTTGCAGTACAGAAACTTCTCAACTTGATGCAATCCCACATGTTAATTTTGGCTTTGACTGCCTGTGCCTCCTGGGTCTTTTCCAGAAATTCTTTGCCTTGCCAATATCTTGCAGGGTTTCTCCAATGTTCTCTAATAATTTGATGGTGTCAGGTTGTCGATTTAGGACTTTAATCCATGTTGAGTGGATTTTTGTGTATGGTGTA